AACTGTCGAATCCACTCCTACCCTCAGAGTGCTACCACTGTGTTTGGGAAAACCCTAGCTGTGCGCATCATTTTCTGAAACTGTAAGTGTATTTTAGAATCTTCTTGGCTTACTGCATGACACACAATACCATTGAACATTCTTTGACAAGTTACTGCTTTTCTGCTTTGAGGCAAATCTCAGGGAATGTAAATATACCTCCCTGCAGCTTAGGGTCTTTGGTTTTTTAGGGTTGATTTTGGCTGTTTTTGTTGCTGATTGCCATTAAAGCTAAACTTTTTTAGTAAGAAATTAATTATGACAGATGGAGTTCCTGCTGCCAGATTAATCCCTGCATAAGATAAGCCTTAGCCCAAATGTGTAAAATACTGCTTGCACAATGACTGTGGTACTTGTGCCCTACTTGTGTTTGTTTACAGAGTGTGTTAGATGTTGCATGTGAAACTTTTCTCTGTAGTTAAAGAAAACAAAGGTTATGAATTAACAATGAGCATTTAAAATTTGCAGACTTGAAGTTAAGAGCATTAAAAAGAGGGGAAGAACTTTGTTTAAGGTCCGCTGCATACACATACCTTCCATATGAGGGTGTTCCTTGTGATTTTAATAATCCCTATAATGACTTCTTTTAGCAGAGCCTTCAGACCACATATTCATTCGTTTAGAATATGAACAGATTTTTAAAAATATCATCTGTGCTGCTTCTTTAAACAAGTACCTTTTCAGTTAAAAGTACAGAAGCTGGGGGTTTTCTTGCTTGGGCATTCATCTCTGTGAAGTCCGGCGAAGTTAAAATAGACTGCTTTGAAGGCATTTGTCAAATGTAGTTATTTCATGTTGCCACTAGGAGGTACTTTCAGTAATAGAAAAGGTATTTCACCATTTTCAGACTGTAGTCTCATTTCTTCAGATAGCTTAGAAAGAAATATCTTTTCACATTTTACTTGGAGTGGATCCAAAGTACTTGTAACAGTAGAAAAGTTGATGTTCATGGTTACATTTCACAGCTGATTTGTGCAGTTATGTTTCAAATGTGAGATAACAATTTAACTTCCATTTTTATTTTTCATCAGCAGATTTGAGATGTGTGTCAGGTTTGAACATTTTTAGATAACAGCTGATTTAATTACTGAATGTAATTTAAGATATAACCCATATGTGGAAATAGTTTCATATTCTGCACATTTTGCTTACTGAGTATCGTCTGAGTGCTCACTGACTTGTAGTACATTTTTTATAGAGGTTAAATAGGTTGAGTATGTTTAAGACATCCCTGTAGCAAACTTGGGAGCTTGCTGGTTTTTAACAATTTATAATTTTGGAAATTTTGCTGCTAGATACATAGTTACGTTTCAGTTACCTTAAATGAAAAGCCTGGACTCTGTATATTAAAAAAACAAAAACAAAAACAAAAAACACAAAACAACAACAACAACAAGATTTTGTTTAGGTTAGGTAGTTTCTGGTTTTTTTCTAAGAATATAGAAAGACTCTTTTGATCTGAATTAGCAAAATAATGTGGTTGATAAAGAGGATTTGTTTGATAAAGTGTCTTGCATAGAATTATTCTGGTTTTTTTTCATGGACCATAATTTATTCCATGGCATTTCTGTGCAGTATTAAATCACTTACTAAAATTGGTTGCTCTATATCATTACCTTAGTTTTATGAAATATTTTAAAGTTCATTGTTCAAAAAATTAAAATACCACTAAGACCAGAGGCTTCCATTGCAAGAGTGTTAAATAAATTGAGTTATAGTGTATTTTGGTTAATCTTTGATTCTGCATTGTAAACCTCTAACTCAAGGATTTTTTTCCCCCTTTTTTCTTCTTTTTGGCATGTGTTTCTTTTGTGAGGTCCATCATTCTGTAAAGTTTGGGGTGGGGAGAATTGTCTGAAGAGGGGGATTGATTTTGTAAAGCAATTTAAATGCTTTATCTTGTGTCTCCCCCCTGCCCACTGTATGGCAGGCAGCTGTTATTCAAGATGAGTATATAATTTCTGAGTACCAATGTAAATTAATATTAATATCATGAAGAGCCTGCAGCATGAGGCAGTTCTAAGTGCTTTCGCAACAGTTTGCAATCACTAGGCTATCAGATATTTCTTAGTTTGAAAAAGGTGGCTAAAACTGGTGTGAGGATGTTTGTATTTGTAAGTAAGCAGCACAGTCTAAAGTTTCAGTAGCTGCTTTCAGATTTGTTTAGATTAAACCTGACACATCTAAGTTGTGAGCATCAGTGTAAAATGTTTGATATGTCTTGTGATTCAGGCCTCCTGTTTGTTCTTCATAATAGTTACCATTAGTGTGTGTGATGCATGTAGTAGTAAGTCGCCTTTCCATCGCAAGAACACCTGTTATTTAATTAGATAAGAGGCTGCTACTGTTGGAAGTAAAAGGCTATCTGCCAGCCTGGTGAGTATTGCATTTCTTCAGTAAGCAGGTCTGCAAGCTCAGTTCACCTTGGTTTGGATTAATGATTACAAGACTGTAAGAATTATGCTTATTTGTGGTGTTATTGTTGCCACAGTAGTAGCAGATAAAGAATCAGTTTGTTGCAATGGATTGATATGTCCAAATGTCAATCAATTAAACTATTTAGTGACAAGAGACCGGTTTTCTGGTGTTTGTGGAACACAAAGTATGTGAAGTATGTGCTCCACTGCCTTCTTGAAAAAATGTGGTAGTATGGACATATATTTGTGCAGGTGTCACAGGAAAACGTGTTGTCTGGATGTGCAATTGTAACATTGGTATGTGTATATTTGCACAGAAGGAGGAGAAAATGGAGGTGAAAGTTCCTTCTGTCATTTTGTTTTTCCAGGAAAAAGTAGCATAGTTTTAAGGAGGTTGTTTTTTGTGGACTGTTCAAGTTTGAGAACACTAGAAAACTTGAATCTAAATTCTTTAGATCTGAAAAAGCAGGAATAATGATGAATAAGATTCTTCTCTTACCTTTTGCACTGGTGTTGCTTCAAAAGAAGTAACCTCATGGTTTGCACTGCTGTAAATGAGGGGTAGCTCTGTTTTTGTCTTAAACCCCCCCCCCCCCCCCAAAAAAAAAAAAAAAAAAACCAAAACAGAAAAAACCCATGCCCCCCACCCCTTGTTTGTTGCAAGTAATTTTTTAAGTGAAAAAAATTATTTTGTGTTTTTATTTTAGTGCAGTTTCTTTTCACTTTTTAAAGTAATTGTGCTAATCAAAGCCAAAAAGAAAAGCAGGAAATTAATCTAAGCAGGGACTAATTTAGAACAGCTAACAGTCTGTGAGCCCTGGCATTAGCATACAGATTCCTGCTTGATTTGGAGTCTCTGTAAGTTCTTATCTAACTATTCTCCTGTCTCTGTTTGTTCCATGCTAAGCAGATGGCCCAGAAATTAGCCAAAAGCAGGAAGAAGGTGCAGTACAAACTCCATCAGCTTGATGTTATACCTGTTCTTTTGTTTTCTGGGAAGGTTTTTTGCCTTTTTATTTTGTTTTTTATTTTCTGCATCCAGCAAGGTTTTTTTAAGATTTATTTCTGAGACACCATGCAAGTTGACATTTTTCAGAAATCTGTTGCCTGATTGGCTTTTTTTTTTTTTTTTGCTTTATCATTAGCCATTTCATGTTAGAAATAGAATGAAGATTGGATTAATCAAATGGTTACACACAGTACCTAAAATGCAAACTAAAGAAACAGGACTGACGTGGCAAAGGTTTTAACTCTGTAAGATGACAGATTAAGTCTTTTTTTTAACTTTATCTTCCTATAAGAGTGCTTTGTTTGATTTGCAGATGTGTCAAATTGCTGGATGCAAAAAAGAAAAGAGTTTATGTATATACACACAATAATATGCTGAGGTTGACTCATCTTAGTAATAAGTTTCATTTATGGATTTTTAAAGTATCTTTTAACTAATCTAATTTTTTAAAAATTACAAGCATTAGCTTTCTGTTAACAAAATATGACTTCTGAAGGGGGTTAGTGCTTGAATAGTAGCATGTTGTCTGACTGCGAAGGTCTTCTTACTAGAACTGCATTATGAATTGCTTAAACTGTACCCACCAGTGGTAAAGGTCTTTCCATTGTTCTTGGCAGTCTCTGTTAGCCCATATAGAAATTCCTCAGGCAAGAGATGCTGTTAGGCCTTTCAATGGCTTGTTTGAAAAAACCTTACTTAAAGGGGGATTCATAGTGTGGAGAAAACAGGTGTATCATTTTGATTTTCATGAAATCTATACATAGTTCATGTTGCAGTCAGGTACGATTTTACTGAATCAAGAAAAATGTCAGGGAAGCTTTTAAGGGGTTACCAATTTTTCAAATAATATCCAATTCACTTCCACAAATATGTATATAGTTTCCATATCTTTGTGTTTAGCTTCTGCAATCTAATACCCTATCTTGCGTTGCTGTTCTGGTGACTGTGTCTTAGTGCACCCCTGTTTGTGAGCTAACATCATTAGTAAGTATGCTACCTAATCTGTTTGTTTGACTCTAACACATTTATTTGCAGGCTCCAGAAGGTGAATCCCAACCCATGACTGAAGTGGACCTCTTCATTTCTACACAGAGAATAAAAGTACTGAATGCAGACACACAGGTATAGACAAAGATGCCTTTGTCAGTATTGTGGTAGTAAGCTACTGAAATAGACTTTAATTTACCTGCCAAAATTTGTCCTTCAAAAAGTGCTGGCTCTTATATTTCCCACTAGGATTTCCTAGTGTCCACGCTCAGGAGCCGTGTCATACATGCAATTACTCTGGTGTGTCCGACTGTAGAAATTATTAGAATTTGTGGGTAAGCTAATTGCAGTCAGGTCATGTCTTATGAGGCATGATGCATCAAGTTTTGATTGTGCCCAGAGTAGCCCAGAATGTTTGTCTGTGATAATTTGAAGTTCATAGTCCTTTGCGCATACATGCCCAACATAGTCATGTTCTGATGCTGAGGTCTTTATGTGCTTTTCCACAGAAAACACAATTTTAATTTGTAAAGCTTGATCTTTGCTTTACTTTTGGAAAGTGAAGCTCTTCTTTTCTATTGGCATCTCCCTTCATGCATGACAGGTATTACAGACTTCACTTAGGAAACATCTTACATTGACATTTGTTTCTTTTGGTAATACTAGGTGTGCAATAAAAACTTTGTTGAAACAGCTGCTTATGTTGGTTTTTGTATTCCCCAGGAAACCATGATGGATCATCCCTTGCGGACCATTTCTTACATTGCAGATATAGGAAATATAGTTGTTTTGATGGCTCGCAGGCGAATGCCACGGTCTAACTCCCAGGATAATGTGGAAGCATCTCACCCTTCCCAAGATGGAAAGAGGCAATACAAAATGATTTGCCATGTCTTTGAGTCTGAGGATGTAAGGAATTACTCTGTCTTGTAATATTCTAGGTGTGGAAATGTAAGCACATTTGGGTAGGCCTGAAGTCCATTGCAAGTGTTCCTGTCTGTTCATTAACTGCAACCAAATATTTCATCTAAGCAGAGGAACTTGCCTTCTGTTTGCATGTTTGGATCTGACATTTTACTCACAAAATTGGTGTTTATAGAAATGCTTCCCTTTGAAGCTCCTTCAATGCCATACAGTAACAATGAGAGGAGAGTCCAGTTGCCACAGCTTACAAATACCAACTCAGATTCTGCATGTGGGAGTGAAAGTCTATCAGATTCTTATTTTCCTAGGGAAATTCTAATCCAAATTATTGCGTCAAGAATCATTGATATATACTAGAAAGGTGGTTTTTTTGGGTTGTTTTCTTTTTTTGAGGAGGACCCTTGTGTTGGGAAGTAGAATCATAGAATGGCTTGGGTTGGAAAGGACCTTAAAGATCATGGGCAAGGACACCCTCCACTAGACCAGGTTGCTCAAAGCCTCATCCAGCCTGGCCTTGAACACCTCCAGGGATGAGGCATCCACAGCTTCCCTGGGCAACCTGTTCCAGTGCCTCACAACCCTCACAGTAAAAAACTTCCTCCTAATATCTAATCTAAATCTACCCTCTTTCAGCTTATACCCATTACCTCTTGTCCTCTCGCTACACTCCCTGATGAAGAGTCCCTCCCCATCTCTCCTGTAGGCACTCTTGAAGTACTGAAAGGCTGCAGTAGGGTCTCCCCAGATCCTTCTCTTCACTACGCTGAACAACCCCAACTCTCTCAGCCTGTCCTCATATGGAAGGTGCTTCAGCCCTGTGGCTGGAGGTGGCTTTAGGTGTAGACAAGGCTACAGGAAGCTGCCGGTGCAAGAGGGTGCACACAAAGGACAGGCTGCGAAGGAAAGGGGCAGGGAACTGGCAGATTCATGGGAGCTGGAGGGAGGGAAACAAGAAAGGTAGGGGAGAGAGGCTGAAGGAGGCAGAATGATGGAGAAGAAGACGTGTATGACCATTTCCAGTAGCTTCAAGGCCTGGATCTTGTCACTAGGTGCTGCCTTTTTCCTGTTTTACCTGAGACTGAGGTAGGAGCAACTAATATGGACGTGATAGTTTTAAAGGAGGGTAAGAAAAAGAGCAAATATCCTCTTAGATGTAGTTGTGTATTTTCTCGTAGATATTTTCATTTTCACTGCTGGCTTGTTGTTGCGTCTGTTAGAAGGGAGAGCCATCTGGGAGCTGCACACATGGGAAGAATTGTAGGTGCGAGCTGCAGTCACTGCAATGGGGATACCTTTACATTTATATTAGCAGTTCTTATGTGTGAAAGGATGGCTTTATTTGTATTGCTCATTAAGAATTGCTTAGCAAGCTGGAATCATGGCACAGGTTAATGTATTGACATTTTATGGGTCTTTTAAAATAATTTTTAAGGCACAAGTATTTTTTAAAATGGATTGCAGTAATTTTACTTGATGATCCATTTTACACTGTGATTGTAATGGAAAATGTCAATGGACAAGACCATCAGAATGTTTCACTTTTTTCTTTTCTCTGCAAACTGCTACAGGCACAGCTGATTGCACAGTCCATAGGTCAAGCATTTAGTGTGGCCTACCAGGAATTTCTGAGGGCAAACGGAATCAACCCAGAAGACCTTAGCCAGAAGGAATATAGTGACTTGCTCAATACCCAGGACATGTACAATGATGACCTGATTCACTTCTCCAAATCTGAAAACTGCAAAGATGTATGTCTCATTTTTTTACATAACAGCATTAAGCTGCTCTATACCAGCTGCAGGCCCATGCTGGCAGAAATGAGAAAACCATTAATGCTTCCTATAGATGACCTCAGTGAGCCTAGAATATCCTCCCAAGTAGGACAACCTGTCATCATTCTGTTTCAAAGGCAAACGATTAACCCAAAACTTATCAACAGTGAAGTAATTTACCATCTGTTTGTGTTCTTTTTAACAAACAATTTTCAAACAAGTTTGACATTGTATATTAATGAAAATAATTTTAAAAATATTAACAGAGTTAATTTAAGAGGTTACAGTGAACAATACAAAATTTGTAGAGGTGCAAGTGTTTGTTAAAGTGGTTCATTCCAAAATTTTAAAGGATTGTATTTGCTGAAAGGATTTGCAGCTTGGTTAATAAAGATGAACCAGTGCACCACTGCAACACACAAGTTGTGGTTTTCCAATCTGCAGTCATAAATTCTTGCAATCTCTTCCTGTTTAGCCTTATTGACTGAAGCCCATGGCACCAGGGCTTCTTCTACTCAAGTTTCCTCTGGTCATATGCAGAAATAAGTTGTGAGGGGTGTTCCACACTAAGCAAAATCTATATCATGTAGTGTTGATTTTTTCATATTTGAATATAAATGAAATGTAGTAAAATATGTACCTTGTTTTGTTTTGCCTTTGAATGAGAAATGCATGTTGCAAATAATGAGGGGTATGTGTTTATTGGTTATATGAATGTTTGGAAGGAGGGATGTTAGTCAGTTCCATAAGGTGTAAAGAAATATTTTTTTTAAACACTTTTTCTTATGATTCAGGTTTACATTGAAAAGCAAAAAGGAGAAATCCTGGGTGTAGTGATTGTGGAGTCTGGCTGGGGATCCATTTTGCCTACAGTTATCATAGCCAACATGATGCATGGAGGACCGGCAGAGAAGTCTGGGAAGCTGAACATAGGGGACCAGATCATGTCAATCAATGGGACCAGTTTGGTTGGTTTACCACTGTCAACATGTCAGAGCATTATAAAGGTACAGAGAATGTTTCTGGAAGTTACACATTTTAAAAGGGTTACATAATAGGAGAGCAGAAAGTATAGAAATCTTAAGGAAATTCTTACCAAATGTTTGTATAGCACTTTCCATTTCATAGTCTTTAAAACTGCAATGGGAATTATGCTACACCAATTTTCTGACTCCCAGAAAGTGAGCTATGCCATTTACTTGTATAGACAAGGACTGTGCAGAACTTCACAAGAGAGTATTTTGTTCGGGAGGAAGATATTACCGGACACACATCTGAAGACACTTAAAATTTTACTTGGCAAATGGAGGCACAGGTACCTAACATTGTCCTAGGACATATTAGCTGTTAAAATACCTCCTAGTATCTGTCTGAAATAGAGATGATGCTTTTTTTGTTTGTTTATACCTATTTTTACAACTTTTAAACTTTGAATTAAAGACATGCTTATCCTTTGTAGAAACTTTGCCTGTGTTATTTGAAAGTGCAGTGCTTCTCTTCACCTGGCTAAATGGGATATTTTAATTAGAAGAACCTTCTTCTGGTTGTCAGAAAAGTATGTGACTATAAAAAGCATGTGGGTCAACTGGAACTGAACAATGTCTTCGGTAGCTGTAGCATAATTGGGAATAGGTATTTAAACATCAGAGTTTAAAGAGCCAGAAAGGTGCATCACTAGGGAACATTTGAGATGAGCCTATATAGACTTTGTTATTTATTGAAATAGCCCCACAGAGCTCTTGCAGATCATAACATGTAGACCCGTAATGTAATTCTCGTGGCGTAGGATACAGAAATCCTTCTCCGATTTCTAGGAATATGCCTGTTAAACTTACATATTTAAGCAACTTTCTGGTAACAAGTTTATTATGTAATAGATTGTTTTGCATTTTGTACTTTTTCAAATTGCAAAGTAAATTTACAAAGTAAATTTTTATTTTTTTGTCCAGGGATTAGTTTCTCAATACTTGAACTAAGATGTTCGCTGTAAAGGCTTCCCATTCTGGTTTCCAAAATGTTTGTGGTGATTACTGATGAGTAATAGATGCATAAGTCACTGAACCAGCCATTGTAGAGTCATTGAGTAGAAATGATAGTCTGAAAGCGTAGCATGATGAAAACATGGCAAAACCAGTCTTACATTTGTGAAGGAACAAAAAAAAAATCATATTAAGTATCTTTGTGCCAGCTTCAGTGGAACAAAACTCGCTGCAAATTTTGGCTTTTTATGTTAGCCATACTTGTTTCCTATTGCACCTCAGTTTTATTTCTAAAATTGTGATGAGTTACACTTCTCTGATTCAGGGGCCTTTCAGGTGAAGTTCTGTTGTCCTCATCTGTACTTTCTCAAAGCAGAAGCAACCAGCTTTGCTCCTGCAGCTTCAGCAGACCTTTCTCTTCCTCACTGATACCTACTGCTGTTGCCATAGGAACTACTAGTCATTTTTTTGTCTTTCTAAAGAGAAGATAGTCTGTATGTTTGCAGGTCTTCATAACCATACATCTGGGAGTTGTTCATACAGCGTTTCTGGTAACAAGTACGTATACCACTGAATGATCTGATCACACATTTAAATGTGGCAGAAATATCTCAGGATTTCAGATTTCTTTGGCATACTGTAAAGACTCCTATGAGAAGATGAGAATATTATGTAGATAAGAATAATATCTTGAAAGCACTTCAAATAAGATAATTTCTCTATTGTAGATGTGATCTCTATTACTAACTGACCATAAACCAATTGCAAACTGACAGCTCAAAAGAAGCTTTCCATATGTACTGGTCATTCCCTAATTGTATTGTGCTGCTTGTGTCTTTTTCAGAAGCATCTGGTGGTGGCTATTATCAGAAGCATACTCAGGGACTAGATAAGCAAATAAGTTGATCAAATGATGCAATTGTTTTGTTTCTGATCAGCACATGTTACCAATCTGCCTAACACTGGAAATTAGCCACTTTTGAAATATATACACTTTCTGTAAAATTCAAATATTATTTATTGGGGACCACATTACTTTTTTTTTCAAAGAATACATATAAATAACTTGCACATTTGTCAGGGAAGTAAGAGTGCAACATTACCAACTCTGTTGAGGCCACGTAACCTGAGTGTACTCAGGGGGCTGAAGTTAGACACCTGAATTCCTCATAGAATTAGGAATAGGGCACCTCCAGTTCCCTGCATGACTCCTGCCCTTCTGGATTTAGAAGACTGAGGCAGAAGCCCCTCAGACTTTGTGGGTAAACATTTTACCCACAGCTTAGTACAGGCTGATTAGCCCATCTTCTGCTGTGTGTGTTGTTGTAAAGACCTGTATGTAGAAGAGCATGTCTGGTGTGCTGCTAACTCCTCATCAGAGTGGAGGAGTCCATAGTCATGGAAGAAATTACATTTGGACTTCCTTTCTGCTGAAAGTGGAGTAGAGGCAGTTCCCACGTCCACGTGCTTTGTCATTTTCTGTTCACACACCCATTCTGTTGGAGGCACTTTCAATAATGAGCCAAGCTGAGCTCAGCACTGTGTGGAAGTGAGGGCAGCTGTTCTGATGTGATGATTGCATCCAGTTTAAGGCACTGACAAGAAAATAGACTCCAAGATAGTTCACCCTAGCAGGATGCTAGTCTAGTTATTCAAGTCGCTGCTGTATCTGGAGTTTAGCTCAACAGAATCAGCAGCAGTAAACTGGATGTAGAGGCTTCAGTGTATTGCCTTAGCTGTAGTAAGAGTTATTTTTCAGAATTAACCTTTTGGAATCAGTATCAGGTACCTGTTAGTTGCAGATTTCAATTTTACGTATAAAAGGAATTCAGAAGTAGGTGCTGGAGTTGGTATGTCTTGTATTAAGTAAGGTGGAAATTGTATTTTTTATAAACATGCCTTTCTTGATGTGGATTTTATTTATGTATTTATTTATGTCTAATCCTTTGTGTAAATGAAGTATTCCAGAAAAATATCTTAACACTCTCCAAGAGCTCTGAATACCTGAAGGTGTACAAGGGGTCAGATTGCAGTTATCTACGTTTTTACATTTGAGTTTTCATGGAGCCGTACAATCACTGAGTCTCTGAGACTAGCAGTCACTGCTGAAGCTTGTCTAAACTAACACTGCGGTTCAAAGTGGAGCAGGCTGGTTAGGGCCAAGCCTACTGGAGTTTAAATAACTCCAAGGCTGGATGCTCTACCACCTCTCTGTGTAATCTGTTCCAGTGTTTTACCACCATGTCAGTAAAAACAAATTTTCCTCCTTCAATTTTGTTCTGGTTCAGCTTGTTTAGAAGGAAGGAGGAAAGGAAATTAGGAGCACTGTTCATACAAGCGTGGTATGAGCAGGACCTGCCATTTTCTTGACAGAATTGAATGTATCCTGTTAGGGAAGCCGCTTATTTATAATGATCTCAGTTACTTGTTTAATATTTTATTTCCCATCCACAGCCATTGACCTTTTTTTTTAATCCAAAACATAGCCTCACACTAGCTACTCTATAGAAAGTTAACTCTGTCTCAGCTGAAACAAGCTGCATGGGCCTGTTCAATATTCTTTTTATGCATGATTTGTGTTATCAAATGAAGAAATTTTGCCAACAGGAAGATAGTTTTCTTAAAACATCTCTGGCAGCTTCTTGGCAAGAAAATATCAATATTTTATCACTCATTTCATTGAAAATTGTGACACCTGTGTGTCGCATTCAGTGATCAGATTCTGTTCAATGCATATGAAGAGCTGTTTATTCAGGGCTGTTCCCATGTCAAGATTTTAACACTTTTTTTCCCCCCTACAGTGCTTATGTTAAATGTTTTGCTCTGTCTTTGCCTTCATTTTTCATGGTGATTTTTTTTTTTTTTTACAGGGTTTGAAAAACCAGGCCCGGGTTAAACTGAACATAGTTAGGTGTCCTCCGGTAACCACAGTCTTGATCAGGAGACCGGACCTCAGATATCAGTTGGGCTTCAGTGTGCAGAATGGGATTGTAAGTAGCTTCTACACTCTCTGGTTAAGCTTTGATATACATGAAACTTCTTATCCATTTATGGGTAGCTTTCAGTGTGGGAGGAGGGAAGCTGACAGTTTTTCCCTTATAGCAAGCAGGACTTAAAATGTGTTAAGTCTAAGATATAAAATCTGAGTTAATAGTTGTTTTTTTTTCTTTGATTCTACTTACTTCATGACTTTAGAGTCAACCAAAAGAACAGAAAAGCTGTTTTAGGTTTGAGAAGCAAAAATGGGTAGTAGAGGCTGTTTTCAGTCTGCATCGTTCACATCTCTAACTAAGCCATTGCATGATCTCGAAAGAAAAGGGCTGTCCTTGGTCCTCTTTTGTTGTAAGGCATCTGCATCATGAACATTATTAAACTCTCGTCCTTGATACACTCTTAAATTTCCAAACCACAGCACTTGTGACATACAACACAAGTAGCCTTTTCTAACAGTTTCTTCTGCTCTTGGAAGAGAATATCCAGTAGTTACTTGTCACTCACAAATTTTACTTTGATTCAGTGATGAATTACTTTTTAGAATTTATTGCAAGACTGTTTAAATGCTGATTTACAGTTTACAGGCAAAAACGAGTAGTCTAAAGCCTCTGTTCGTTATCCAGGCCCTGGTGAATTTGTCGTTTCCCTTCCAGATCTGTAGTCTTATGAGAGGAGGCATAGCAGAACGAGGTGGTGTGCGTGTTGGCCATCGGATCATTGAGATCAATGGACAGAGTGTAGTAGCAACACCCCATGAGAAAATTGTTCACATACTCTCAAATGCTGTTGGTGAGGTAAGAGCAGGCAATGTGTCTGGGCAATATAACATAGTTCATTGCTGTTGGTGGTAACAATCAGTGGAAACCAGTAACAAGTGGTGTTCCTCAAGGAACCATACTGGGACCAATACTTTTTAATATCTTCATCAATGATGTAGACAGTGGGATTGAGTGCACCTTCAGCAGGTTTATGGATGACACCAAGCTCAGTGGTGCAGTTGATAAGCTCAAAGAAAGGGATGCCATTGACAGGCTTGAAACAAGGGCCCATGTGACCATCATGAGGTTCAACAAGGTGCAAGGTCTTGCACCTGGGTCTGGGTAATCTCCAACATCAGTGCAGACTTGGGGATGGAGGGATTGAGAGCAGCCCAGTGGAGAAGGACTTGGGGATACTCGTGGATGAAAAATTAGAAATGACCCAGTAACATGCACTCGCAGCCCAGAAAGCCAACTATATCCTGGGCTGCATCAAAAGAGGCGTGACCAGCAGGTCGAGGGAGGTGTTTCTGCCCCTCTACTCTGTCTCATGAGACCCCACCTGGACCACTGCGTTCAGCTGTGGAGTCCTCAGCACAGGAAAGACATGGACCTGTTGGAGGGGGTCCAGAGGAGGTGCCACAGAAGGGCCACAAAACAGAGGGCTGAAACACCTCTCCTGTGAAGAAGGCCTAAGAGAGGCAGAGTTGTTCAGCCCAAAGAAGAGAAGGCTTCAGGGACACGTCACTGCAGCCTTTCAATATCTAAAGGATGCTTCCAAGAAAGATGGAGCAAGACTTTTTACCAGGGTCTGTAGTGACAGGACAAGGGGCAATAGTTTTAAACTGAAAGAGGGTAGATTTAGGTTGGGCATAAGGAAGCAATTTTTTATTATAAGGGTGATAAGACACTGGAACAGGTTGTCAGAGAAGTGGATGCTCCATCCCTGGAAATGTTCAAGGTCAGTTTGGACAGGGCTTTGAGCAACCTGATCTGGTGAAAGATGTCCCTGCCTGTGGCAGGGGAGTTGGACTAGGTGACCTTTAAAGGTCCCTTCCAACTCAGACTGTTCCGTAATTCTGTGACTCTATTAGCATTTTGCTGTTGAAATCTAAAACATGGAAGTGAGAGCAACCCAGCACACCATTTCCTTTACTATTTACCTGTAGTTCCCCTGTATTTTAGAAGAACCCTAACCTGAAAATGTTTAGATGCTTCATTGATTCTAAATATACTGTTTCATAAAAATCACCACCTGCAATACTTTAATAAGGGAATGAAAGCTCTCGGATTTTACCTCTCCCTTCTGTCCTGTGTGACCTTAGTTAGTTCCTTCACCAATGCTCTGTTGTCATATGCATGTTAGGAACATTAACTTGTCGTATTTCCTCTAGATTCATATGAAGACTATGCCAGCTGCCATGTACAGACTGTTGACTGCGCAAGAGCAACCAGTTTACATCTAAAGCCGACACCTCAGTCACAATGTGCATGGAAGATATTTTTCCTCATTAGTGCTTGTCTCTCTTGTGCTGCATTTCTATGTCTGCAGAGACATTTCTTTCTCTCTCTCTCTCTCTCTCTCTCTCTCTCTCTCTTCTTCACAGACACAAACACACTGTGTCTTTCTCCTCCCTTCCTTTTTCCTCTTCTTCCCACCACTTTCCTGTATTTTGAGATGGGGCAAAATATACATGTGGGACTATTTTTGTTGTATTTTTTTACCAAGTAGTAAAAATGCAGTTCCACATGCAAAACAGGAAAATAACAGCAGCATTGTTTGCAGCAAGAGTCACCAATAAGATTAACTCTGCTTCATGCTACATTATCGGTTTTATTTTTGTGGCTATAATTTGACAAACTGAGTAAATTAAATGTTGCTGAATGAAAGATGTCTTTACCGAACAGATAAAAGCTTAGGGTGCAAAGTGTTCTCTTGCATATCCTGCATTCCACTTTGTTTTTCTTGCCCTATTTTCCCATGGGCACTGATATCAGTATTAAAGGTTTATGTCTGTAGGGAAAACAAAAGGATAGTTTTGCCCTCAGGAAGAACTACATGTTTATGAAGACTCAGTCAATGCTGCTGTTGTAATACAGGCTGTCCAAATACACACCTTTTAATTCCCCTCTGTCATGAGTTCTTTATCATAGTAGGACCCCAAAAGGTACTCTGTGAGTTGCTGAAACATGTTACATTTACATTACTTACACTAAGTAATTTGGGAGGCGTTTTTACAGCTGCCTCCCCCTTTCTGTCCCCAGTTTTCTAACTCTTAATTTTCTTCTACTTTGTTTTTAAATGCAACATGTCTTTTATAGTCCCTTGCCTATTTTAGAGGTTAAAGGATTGGGGGAGAATCTTTAAATACATACCAGAGAATTAGTAAGGGGATTTGCTGAATAGCTACACTTTTTCTAGGCTCTTAATTCTGAATTTGGTGTACACAGCCATGTGTGCCAGTGTATATAGACATTTTTTAAATGTGCTTGCTATTTATGAAGTTTCAATATAAGAGATCTACAGACTATTCTAAGTAATTTTGTTCTCTGAGCCAGTTTTAACATATACTTTTGTCCAAAGACCTGTCTAGTTTTATTGACTTTCTCTTTTAGTTTATGATATAGGTAACAGTGGAAGGGATGAGGTGGGAATAAACTTGTTTATTTTGTTATATAATTTAACTTGTGACTTTTTTTCCATATGTATGGCACTTAAAGGAGATATGTGTGTACTATATGCACTTGTATGAAGATGATAAACTGTAGGGATGTATGAAATCTAGGATTTGATTGGCCTCTAACTTGCATGCTAGAGACAAAAGGGGAAAAAGGGGTTGGGTTTTTTTTTAAGGGAGGGGGGTGAAGAAGCAGTGGCTTGTCTTCCTAGTGAGGGGAAAATTCTCCATTCTCTGTAGTTACTTTTTACCAGGAATGTGTACTGCTGTTTATGCTGAAATTGAACCATGCATTTAGTCCAGACTAATATGTTGATTTCTTTTAAAGAAACAGCTTGTGCTATGTTTTACTGTGATAGAAAGGCTCAGTGAGGTGAAAACAAGAGCAGGCTGCACACAGCCACACATTGCTTCTGCTTTGCAGATGTGCTGTTGGTCATAGTTGCTTTTTTCTCAACTTTTGTGGGGTGGACTGTGCAATGAAAGTGTTTGCAGTCCAGTAATGATACCTAGACATCACTACAGAGATCCATGAAAGTGCATGTGTGTGTGTGTACGTGCATACGCACACGTGGTGCGAACACTGCTGAGTGCTGTTGAACGCTCTTGCCAGAGGTCCATTTTTGGCTTTGAGAAGTCATGGATATCCATGGGCTGATCACAGGTAGAGAATAAACTTTGTATTTCAGTGGGCAGTAAATATTTACAGGAGGTAATGAAGTGCTGCATAAACTATTGTAGTAAGTAAATATGTTTGAGTGTCGAGATTAATGTATGATGACTTGATTTTACTGCAGTTCTTGTTGTTACATAGTTTAATCCCAATCTCCAGAATAGCAGATTGCACAAGAGAGCGGTGTTAGTATTCCAGATTAGTACTTACCTCTGCTACCTGACTGATGCAAATAGATAGTGAATGAATTGTGAGTATATTGTTTAACTGTAGAGAGCTGTTTTATGATAATTTGAACTTTTTTCCAGAACTTTCCATATATATAGTAATATATGTAAATATAATATATAACCATGTACAATTAAGAAGATTGTATACAGTGCAGCCTTTCCGTAAATTGCCTGAGGAAACTCAGTGAACTCTTGAAGACACGGTTGTCATGCTGCTGGTTCCTGCCATTCCACCCTCAGCTTCACTTGTTTCTGTGGTTCTCTCCAGCTCATGTGGTGGGTCTTTAACTCACTTCAATGATGAAGACCTGAACATGCAAATATATTTAGAAACTAAACAACTGTTTCTTTGAAAATCTTGCAGCCGAGATTCAGTGAAGTTACTGGCACCTGAGTGCTTGGTAAAAAGGTGCTTAACAGTAAGCAAGTGAATGCTTGCAGTATCAGAGTCTAGCAAAAATTCTCAGTTTTTCCAATTACAGTGTGTGTGTAAGATTTCTAAACTGGGAAGTCCATAGTGTGTGCACACTTCTGATAACAGTCTTGTAAACAATCCCATTTTACTTTGTAACGGGAAGGAGTTTCGAGAAAAAGGAGCTCAAAAGGGAAAGCTGGCAGTTCACTAGACTGTTGCAGCAGTTTGTTAGATTACACATGTCAGTTTTTAACAGATTCAGAGGAACACACTGCTAGTTTACATTCCTTCTTCAGTGATAGACCTGAATTATTTTTCATCCTTGCTTCTTCGTACAGTCTAATTAACTCTTAAGTGTTTACATTAAGGATGAAACATCCCTTATTTTTTTTTTTATTGGCAAGTTTCACACATTTGTTTTGTTTGAATTTGAGACTCAATGGGGATTTCCAGGTTTGCTTGCTTTCCTTGTTTTCTAAATGAAATGTATTTCTGAAGACAGCAATGTGGTTGAGATCTCTTGTACATACTTAGCGCAGTACCTAGACTTATGAAGTTGTACTATTGTTCTGTAAAGAGGGTGAATAGAAATTATTGTAAAGCGTTGGGAAAAGTATAGTATTGTATTTGTAACAATATTGTTCTTTGTAAACATTTAATGATCTCTATATATAAATATAAATATATATA